ATTTACGAAACGGTGAAAGCAGCAAATTAAAACTGACGACTTATTTGAACAAGACGTGTTTGACCGGATTACGTTGGTAAGAAAGTATCGAAGTATAAAAGGAGGGAAATCTCTTTCGAAAGGTACAAAAGGAGGGAATTGAAGAGGCAAAAGTTCAGAGTGAACGACGAAGGAGGATGCAGGAGAGAGAAGAGAATGAGTTGGAAGCGAGAAAAAGGGAAGCAACGACAATTAGACGGATGATCGAGCGAGCCCTCCTTAAGAGATGATCCTGGACTGGAAGTAGTTGTTAGGAAGACTCGCAAGCAAGGCAAGAGGCGAATAGTTCGATGTTCGATGTTCTGGAACGCGAAATTATGTAGCCGCTGCTATTTAGGCGTCGTTAGAACAAATAGCTTTCGGGGGAGGAGGGGGGGGGATTAGTAGTCGTGCAAAAAGCGCACGATGCGGATTAGATCATGCGCTATTAGCGGCGACATAGAGGAGCCGATTAAGCCTACAGAATGTGTCAATCTCGGATGCGGGCGGCCGCATCATATTAACGTCAAAACCCCGTCGCCTCTCTTGCATCCCTGCGAAAACCACAAGCGAATGGTGCTGTGCAATGTGCTGGCATTTTGCTGGCACATAAATTAACTTACGCGACATTGACAGCTAATATTCTACCTTTATAATTTAATCATAAATAATAATATGACGTAAATTTTTTTATACTCTAAATTAAAAGTTAAGTTAAATTAAAGAAGGAGAAGAGGAGAAGAGAGAATAATATTATAATAAAGAGTATTAAGTAATAATGTCAATTTGCGTGATAGCTTTTTAAAGTAGGAGTACAGATAAGGTAAAATTGACGACGCGATGTTTTTTTTTTTTTTTTTTGTACGATTGAAAGACATAGCGATGTCATTATTTTACAATCAAACGGAGGAGCGTACATGTCTCGAGACGTGAATTGCCGAGTATACATTCTCATAGTAAAGGCGACGCTGTTGGCATCCAGTATCCGTTACGATGAGCCTTATCAGCAACCATGCGTTTAACTTAAGCTCGTTGCCACGTCGCATAGATCGTTGTTGCCCGTTAATTTGTCATCATTAATACCGATAAATGCAAATTTGCGAGATAAAATACTATGGTTTAATTTTTTTTTTTTTTTTTTTTTTAATTAATTGCTGTATTCTCTGTCAAGATACAACCGAGAATTAAGATAAAGAGTCTGATGTTACGTAACAGCAAGTAGTAGTAAGAGCGTGCATTTAAATTTACATTTAAATAGTCTGCAGCCTTATATTCCATTTTATCTTTATATTTGCTAAACCTTTATTATACAATTGGACATGTCATAATATTTGCAACATTTATTAATATATATTTCACGAATTTTTTTCTCTTTTTACGGAAATAAAAATTTTAAAAAGAAAGAGAAATAATACGTGCAACATTAATTGTAAATAAAAACGAAAGAAATGAGCTTTCTGTATATTAGGAGAAATGAATTTGAACGCGAAACTATTCGACCGACATATTAATTAATTATACAATTCTTAATTTTTCGAATATACTTAATTGCTCATATAAACATTGTACGATGGACGGAAGGGGAAGGGGGTAGTCCTTGCATCGTCGTGGTCGGACTGCAGACAGTCCGCTGCCAATCATTATATCTCTGGCATGCGAACATACCACTGTGAGCGAAACGGGGTATGCGAGAGGGTCAGGGGACGTTCTGCTGGTCGATGAGGGAATATGGCAGCGCGGCAAGGGATGTGACGAGAGTGGTCGACGAGAGCACGCTCTCGGGAATGAGGGGGGTGACAAAGGGCGAGCACTATATTGGCATACCAACGGTGTGGGCGATATAGGAATACTTCAAGAACAACTTTATAGCGCGAAAGCCTGCCGGCTCGAGATTCCTCCCTCGGAGATTGCCTATCTTCCTTCTCTCGTTGGTGCGCAAAGATGAATACAAGCCGTGAGCTACCGTAAATCCGCTCTGACTATTAATGTGGCACATACGTGAAACAACATTAATAAAAAAAAAAGGCAAAAAATTGCGATTTATTTTATAAAATTCCACCTTCTAACTCTTAAAATCAAGAATCGATGCTGAGATTTTGTTAATTACACAAAAGACAAATTTTTAGTGAAGAATTTTGATGAAATTCGCTACAATTATATATTTATTTTTTATCATCATATTCTGCTTTGAGAACTGAAGCGATAATAATCAGGTTAATTAAACATTAATATCTATTCTTTATTTCATTTGGTATAGTGAAGTAGGTATTAAAGCAAAGAATACTTTTTAATATAATTTGAAGTAACTTAATCTAATTATTTTGAGAAATTCATACATTTTTAAGTACAGATTAAGAATTATGAAAATAAAATAAGGAAAATGCTGAGATTATGTTTTATCACCTAAATCGCGCATGCCCGAGCTATAGATATTTATGCACGGTATCTTGACGTAGTTATCTTGAAGCTTTATATTACTATTAATAATTTTCTTATTAATAAAGATTTTTTTCGTTATCTTTATCTTGCCTCTATTAAAATTAATAGATTAAATTTTCTTGAAAGGATGAGTAGAATTATGTGCCTGCTACATAATTAATCCATTTTTCTACTTTCCTTTCCTTTTAAAGAGGTTTCTGAACATTTAATGGGAATTGGTGCCTAAAGCGTTCGTGTCTGACCAAATTTCCACATGTGTTCTACCGTTATAATACTGCGCCTGTGTGTATGAAGCCACGTGTGCACATGTCGGAATTCTCGAATGCAATCAAACGCAACGTATTTTGACGTGATTGAAGCCATCAAGGCGTGCTTAAACGCTACTAACGGAATAACCTATAGCAAACACACAGATCGCGTGTCTGTACTTTTCACCGTTATTAGCTGCAATACCGCGATTTATTCATTATATCCTTTCAATTCCTCTTTCAATTCCTTCGTATCTAATCTCCAAAAAAATCATGTTGTTTGTACATTTTCAAAATTGAGCTAAAACTTCCTTAAGCAAACCGTCGTAATTACGAGCTAATGATTAGTATTGCTGTTAAATAATTTAGATACGAGCCGTATGAATAAGTAAAAAGAAAGAAGCTAATTTCTTAATAACAAACTAGACCGAACTACTTCTTCAATAGTTTGATCTTTTATAATAATAGAAGAATTATAATTTTCACTCTTTTCGTACGATCAAAGTTCTTGATACTTCTACAAATTATCTGTTTTGCAAAACATGCTCGCATTATTTACAAAACACGATGTATCAAGCCAGATAGCTTGCGGAAAATGTGGCGGTGAGTCGCATAAGCGAGGAGGTCGGTCAGAGTGATTTAGGCGAATCAGTAACCCGCGGTGTTGCGTTACTTGTTTACTGCCGGAGCAGCCGTTGCATTATTCAACAGCCGCCCATATTTATCAAGCCGATAGTCAAGCAGGGGTGGCAGCAGGTACGAACGCGATACGTAAACGCGTAAAAGGAAGTAAACGATGGTAGGACCTTTACTAAGGATCGTTTCCTATGGATGACTTTTCCTTTCTCCCAGTTGCAATTGGCTAAAAGCACAGATTGTACGAGAAACAAGATAAAAAAGTGACTTCAAGTCTTTTTGAGCGATATACTCCTGATGTCTTGTGATTAATAATGGAAAATGAAAGAAAAGATCTTTAAAATTATTTTTTTTTTTTCAAAAATACAGATGTGTATGAGAAAATTTTATTGTAACGTTTTGATTTATCTTTTTCATGTAGACTTATCCTTCGCTATTTATATCATCAACTACAAAATATCCGATATAAAGTATATATGCCAATCCTTTCTTATCTTGAACAATGTGGGAGTTTCTTTTAGAAGATTTACACATTCTCTTTGATAATTTCTTAAATTTTAACGTTAGATATGTGTAAATATATATATAAGCATTCTACAATAATGGAAACAAAGCGCGTAATTTTTTTAAAAGGGAGAAATTGCAATTAGCAAAGCGCAAAATCATTTGCACGCAAGTATTTCGAATGAAGGCGGAAAGCCATTAAGGAATATTCCCACGTGTAGAGCGCACTTAATGAGCGATATAATTTATTGGGTCTACTCGCGGGTAGTAGTTAATAGGGTCTGCGACCTACGACCCATTAACCGGAGGTCGATTGCGAGATATCGTCGGCGAACATCTGTCATACCTTGTGCGCGATAGGTCGAACTAAGCACGAAAGTGGAAATTCTAAATTCTAAATTGTCCAAAAGAGTTTAAAATTGAACGAGAATCGCAAAATTGTCCCATCCAATTCCCAAATGGTATCTGGATATATGAGTAAAGAAAATTTGGAGATCGCCGCATTTGATTAAAAAAGAGGGGGGGGAGTATTTCAAAAAAGATTTATTAATTATTTAAACATCTCATCAAGCAAAGTTATAAAAAGAAACAAAGCTGGTATTTTTGTTATTTTCTTCTATTCACATTCCACCTAGTTTTACAGTTGCAAATCAGCTTAAGTACTACTGCAATATTTATCACGGTAGTTCTTAGAAGTTTCATTTACAAATATTTATATAAGATGATAGACAATTCACTCGCTTCCTTTCTTGGCTACAAACAGAGAACACAATAATACTGAACAACATAACGCGAACAATATAATCTTTCACAACACCAAGTTATCAGCCATTTCTCTGCTAACCTACTTATATAACGGCATTCACAGTTATATTCTACGACTTAGGAACTTTAGAGATTTTATATTAAGTGTCTTGTATGTATTCGCTTATTTATTTTATAATTTCAAGTCACCTGCATCTATGCGTATATTACAGTTTAATATTTTTATCGTTAGAAATTTCCTTGAAATTCTTTCTTCTGATTTAAATATCAATCGGGATATCGGTCGGAAATTTTGTTTGTTTGTTTGTTTGTTTGTTTTTGTTTTTTTTTTTTTTTTTGGTTCAATGGGCACTTATATCGCACTTATATCACACTGTCATCAAAACAGTGGGGCCATTATTTCTCTTTTTCGTGAAGCATTATCCAATATCCAATTGTAATTGCTTCACCATTTTTACGTGATTTTTTTTTCACCACTATGCTGTCGTAATCTCGAGAGAAAGGAGATTTGTTACGCAAAATAAATCTGTATATTACTCTACAGTTTTGTTCAGCACACTGCACGCGTTATTCCATCACTTCATTCCCCGTGACCCAGTCGAGCCGCTTAACCGGCTGTACAAGCTCGACGTCGCTCACCACCGACATTCCATTCTTCGTTCTCCATATCGAGAGGTGTCGGTGTCGCCGCCGCATTCCGTCCCATCCTATTCTATAGGAAGGCCGATCATGTCGATTATAGGGAAGGCAAAAATATTGCGCGGCAGATAGGGATAGAAGGGAACCAACGGTACCTCTAGAGAGGAACTGAACATTTTTCTAGCTCCCCTCCAACCCTCCCGACAAGTCGGCAAGCACGCCCATCCCTGTGTAGTGGGGGTGTGCGCACCTCGCAGAGGTTGGTAGGGGTAGACAGAGGTTGCGGCGATGGTGGTGGTGGTGGTGGTGGTGGTAGTCTCCGTGGCGAAGTCTGACCGTTACGGCACCAGTACTACTGTCGCCACTATCACGAGTGCAGGCCATCACGGGACTCAATCATGGACATACTAGGTATGTCCTATTCAAAATCAAGCATGCACAACTTAATTGCTTTTATCGATCTCGTTCGTTCGTTCGTTCGTTCGTTCGTTCGTTCGGTATGTTCCGATTGTCGAAATCGAACCGCACTCCCGGGAAAAGAAAAATTTTATGAATCATGTTTCCATCGGCGCGGCCGCACGTCTTAATCGCGAGTGTCGGCGAGACTGGCTTCGACCCTTTCTTAATTGTGAGACTTCATCTGCATCAAAGGATTAAGGTATTGTGGTTGGAAGGGAAAATTAAAAAAAAAAAATCATGAAATTGGTGATTCTGTTAATTTTCTTTTAAATCTTTCTCTACTTCTCTCTGTCTCTACTTCTCTCTTTCTCTTCTTCTTTTTCTTTTTTTCTAGAACAGGCAAATAGCAGTTAGTTAAAAAAGACATCGTGCGATTTATACTCGAGATATTGTTTTACGATTGCGTCAAAGAATTAAACCATTAAATTTTAGTGAAACTACGTATTTTTATTCATCGGAACATGTAGACTTTTTTAATAAAATTGTTTATGATACAGTACAGATAACCAATCATGTAATTTAAATAAAAAAGACATATTTCAGTTTATCGAAATAAGCATGCGTTTGCAATGCCCCAGCGTTGCTGACAAACATACTATTGTATGTATTGGAGATATTTTATATGTGAATTTGTGTTAAAAATATTGGAGTATCAGCTGAACAAAATACATGTGTGAAAAATAAAAGAATGTCTTGTAACATTGTTTATTCACCCGTGTCAGTTGTGTATTCTTGTTTTTTTTTTTACAAAAACATTGATATATTACTCCATACCGTTCTAGTCTTGATTTTTTTGTGAAAAAGAAATCACAGTAGTTTAATTTTTATATTTTTCGAGAGAAATGGATGATTATTTTTTTGTGAAAAATAAAAAAAATTTTATTTTATTTAAAACTTTTTTTATAAGAAATGGATCAAAATCCTTAAGTCTTTTTTTCTTTTATGCGATTTAATAACTTTTTTATCTTATTTAATATATAAAAAATTTCTAACATATAAGAAAGTCTGTTCTATTAAAGAATAAATTATTTTACTCCATAGCTTCTTGTATCATATATTCTTTCTATCTCAATATCGAAATAACTAATATTTTGTTTTAAAAAAAAGGCTATCAATATTATCTTCTTTTAGTTTTTTAAAACATTTTTATTCTCAAACAAATAAAAAGTTATTGTTTGTTTCTGATTCAAGTCATGACGATAACAAATATTTTTTTATTAATTTATTAATATAATATATACGATGTTATTAGTTATTAATATAATATATACGATGTTATTAGTTTTAATAGACTAATCTTCCCTTTGAGAATAAAATGTCAGAATTTTAATTTACAAAGTGATATTTATTCGTATATATTACTTTTGATCGATTGGCACTCTGATAAAATTACTCGATACCTTTATATTCATTACACGAGAGAAATATCTTCATTAGCCAAACGGGCTTTCGCATCGTCTCCGTTACGATTACGATTCGATTATCGATGGTGGAGATTGAAATTCTGCTGTAACTCAATTTGTAATGAAAATCTTCGAGTAACTTAGTCGATGGGTGTCGAGATCGTTCTTGAGATAATTCTCTTCCAGACACCGGAAACATAATTGAATTTCACGTCATCGATTTAGAAGCGCGTCCGCTCCCAAATAAGCTTGTCCTCTCGAGTCCTCACCTTCTAATGAGTACCGTCTGTCCTTGCATCTCTTCTTTGTAAGGCTCACACTACTATCGCAATTGACCTACTTTTATTTTGTGCAACTTCTAAATTTAAAAAATGTGTCTATATAGGTGCCTATATAGATGCCTTGTGTGTGACAAATGTATACAAAATGTTTCTCTAAATAATCTATGAAATAGAGTCCCGTAAAATATTAATATCTTATTTTATTAATATTTTACATCTGTTCAAATATTTAATCCTAAAAAAATATAATCTATGTATCTAAGTATCTCAGTAAATTTTTAAAAAAACTCGCGAATTATATATATAAGGAAATCAATGGTGTAAAGAAGAAAATCAATGAAATCGGAAATAAGAAATATTGTGAAATAGAATTCTGAATGAAATATTCATATAATTTTCTTAAAGAATCTATTCTTCTTACTTATTTTTAAAACTAATACGTTTTAAGTATGCTTTTGAGATATCCTGTATTTCCTCGATACTTTAAAAATGCAACAGAACAGACATATCGGACTCCCAAGATAAACGAAATATCAAAGCAAAAGGAGATCGCTTGTATTATACGTTATTATACGAATTATTATTTTTAATAATGATCTCATTGTTTAACGAACAATCAAATTTGTGAGAAAAAAGAAAATTCATCGTATTTATCGTCTTAATAAAAAAAAAAAAAAATAACGCAATACTATTACAATCTTGTCAAACATTTTGCATTTCAGCCTTTTTCATCCATAAAGATTATGTAACGACGGTACTTCCGTTCTTCTCCCTGAAGCAGAAACTTTTCGATGCTGCTTTCGTGTTCCTCGGTTTGTCTCATCCAGGCGATAAAACCTTGCCAGGAAAAGTAGCAAGTCCGCTGTGAATTTATATTTTGGAAGTCTCGAAGGGGTCGTTTAGAGATGGCGTAGATCTATTATTGTACATGTAAGTTAGCATCCATGTCTTGACTATATAGATCCATTTAATATAATAAGAAATTTTCTTGATTATTTTATATATTACAGTTTTTATATATATATATTATTCAATAATAATTGAATTGAACGATAAGAAGAAAAAAAGAAAAAAAAGCAAGTTTATATAAAAATTATAATAAATTTCTACAAAACTTGCATATTTATATTAGCATAATATACGAACGATATATCTTTTGGGATATCTAAATAATGAAATAATTAAAAATAATTCTAAATAAATTTGTTGAAGATTTCAGATCATTGTTTAATCAATGTTATATGCCATTATACGACACAAACTATCCGGTGTAAAATTTGTTCAAAATTTATTTCAAATCGCTCTTTCAAAATCGAAAAGGGGGTGCACGTGCGTGCATGCATGCATGCACGTGAAATCCTGAGAGGGACATTCGGCCGAATACGAGCGAATCAATATACTACTACAAGCCCATAAATAACACGTTGACAAAACGGTCTGATATCCTTCTCCCCTTTTCTACTAAAAAGAAGTAATGCGCGTGCACATTGGGCAACGCCCGCGTTGTAAATTATTGCGCTTCTAGAGTTGAGAAATCGAAGTAGCTACATCCTTTTTCTATTCCTCTTTTCGACAAATAAGATAAGATAAGAAAGAGGAACGACACTAATATAGTAAACGGTATATGACTTTTTTTGTTACAAGTAGCAACATTTTTATTTTTCTCTTAAAAAGTTGGATTTTATTCGTTAAATAAATGGCAAATCTAAGTAAGTATCTAAATACTTTTAAAGGAATCGTAAGTGGCTTACAATTTCGATATATTTAATTCTGTAAAAAAAATTATTTTATCATTTTATTTATAAAGAGAATCGCCGCGGAATTCTTTCCACGGAGGCGCAGCATGCATTAATTTTAAACAAGCGCAATTGCGCGATGCAACGTGTAAAATTGCTGAACGAGTGTCTTCGTTCTCCTATTTTCGCTTATTCGACAAAGTCGTTCTCATGTAGTCAGCGACAACTCACCGCGATAATGGAAGCTACTATACGAATATGACCGGAAAAGGAAAACAGCTACATTTGCAAATATCTGCATATGATCATATAAGAAACTGATATGATCATATAATTATATAGAAATTTATGTAGAAAATTATAATTACATTTAAATATAATTACTGCAATAAATGAAGAATTCTATGATTATATACTTATTCTGGAGACGTTTTCGCTAGAGTTACTTCCTGAAAGTTATGGTTTTAGAATAAATATTCTCTTAATCTAAGATTTCTTTCCTTCATTTATCTCTTTATCTACTTCTAACAATATTTATTGCTTTTGTTTTCTAAGAGCTTAATTTTATTTTAATATATAGTTAACCTTACAGAGAATTATTTGACATCGGTTAATATAAACGACCCTAGTCAACATATATTCAATGATCCAATAAAATAAGGTCATCGATTTAAATTTACATACAAAAATGCATTAAAAGTGTCTTCAGAAGCTTATTGCAAATGTCACTTTGCGATCTTTTTTTGACGATGAAATGCAGTTTCCGTTGGGACAACTCGGTATTCGATATGGGTGACATATAATCTGATATCACATACTGGAGATTTTAAGCCTTGTTTTTCTACGATAAGGATTAATAAAAAATAGGATAATAAAAAAAGAAATAAAATATAAAATTTATATATTTGTAAATTGGTTTATTTTCTCTTTTAATTTAATTTTTCACAATAATAACAGTTAGATTGACTTTGACAAAAATCTGATATGATGATTTAAAGAATATGATGTAACCATTTATTATTTTATTATACATTATTTTTTAAAAATTACTTTTACTATCAATAAGTTTTTTATTTCACTATTTGTCAGATTTTTCATTATAAATTTGTCGTAATAATTTTTGTTTGTCAATTTTTTTGACTAAGTACATCATTTCCTATAACGTTGTAACGTTCGCGATGTGTCTTGATAAGACAAAGGTTAAGCATTATGCGAAACGCATAGAAGCTGGTAGCCAATTGAAATTCTCCTCTCCTTTCGCCTCTCGAGACAATTGCGATCGGCTCACGAAGCGTATCGCTGGTTGAAGCAGGCTGTCGTGCGACTCGACAATCTCGCGAAGTAACTTCAGACGTACGGCGTTACTGCGATTGATCCACGAGAGAAATTACCTCGCCATTGTATAATCTAAAGCGAGCTCGTATCGTACGAATCCAATGCGTGTTGCAACTGCCAAAGGAATAATCGATAAGACTAATTTTGTGCTTCAAATATAAGGTGCTAACTGTAATATTTAGAAAAAAAAAAAAGAAAAGAAAATTAAATGAGTAAATTACATAGTTCGAAATGAACTATGTAATTAAATTAAGATTTAAGATAAAAGTACGATAATAAAAATCTTGTACAGCAGAAAGTCAGTAAATTGTTCAGGAGAGATCTGATTTTTATATTATCATCAATCTAACAAACAGAATAAATTATTTTTATACTCTTAATTATTATATAAAATTATTACAAATAAAAAAAGTTATATTATGTTCTATTTTGTTCTATTATTGCGTTTTAATTCTCCTTAAAATTTGTACATACATTCATTAAATGTGAAAAATGAAGAAAAAAGTTATAAACATTTACGTTATACAGTTGCGAATAATAGAAATTAGGTTGAAAATTCAAAGTCACATTTTCAACTTTTATCAATCGTTTCCTAAGTGAAAAAATGGTTAGATCCCTCTTTATAATCATTTAAACGCGTCCCCTTTAACATTTACTTAAGCGTGTACAACCACGATCATTAATCTTAACATCCACGATAAATCTCTCACTGAGCGGAGAAATTCCACGTCAATACCGTAGCAAAATTCTCTACGTCAATAAATTGAAGGGAAAAATTGT